TGTTAATTTTATACCTGAAATTTTCCATGGTAAAAAATTACACAGAAAAATCAAACTTCTGGCGCCTAGAATTCCCCTAAAGGGATCCTGATATGGAACTAAATCAACTGCTCCATGCTTCATTATAATTACAAAACTGGAGAGGAGAAGTACATTCAACAACTCGAGTCTTAAAAACCACTTACGAATCTATCACTTAAAATTGAATATATATATATGTATATATCAGTTCCCATATGCCAACTGTACTTCTTATGGTTTCTAGATTTCTCTCTTTCTTACAAAGCATATCAGGAGTAAATATTAAAATGCTTTATTTAAAAAAGGCTTTGGGGGTGGCACCTGATTGTCTCAGAAGAGCATGCAACTCTTGACCTCAGGGTCATGAGTTCGAGCCCCAAGTTGGGTGTAGAGATTACTTAAAAAAAAAAAAAAAACTTAAAAAAGCTTTGGTCAACCTAACCTCCAGTAATCATCCTTTCACTTCCTCAAAAGCCTGTTTTGTGTCTGAGTATCTTAACTACAATCTTATTTTCTGAAAGGTTTCTTCATCACAGCTGAAAACAACTGCTTTTCCACCCTTAAGTTTTAAAAGGCCTAACATTTGGATTGTTCCTTAGAACTTAAATACACTGCCTGGCGTTGATTTTAGAAAGAATTTTAGGCCAGAGAAGATAGTAACTACTGATGATCGGAAAATGGTTTAAGCTGTGAATACCTTCTGCAGTTGGCTTTTACAAATGCTGCAGGAGTTTGCAGAGCAGCACTCCTTGAACTCCAAGGAACTTCTGCATTAGAGAAAGGATACTTATTTATACCTCCCTATTATTCACTGAATAGTTCTAGAACTATTCAAATGAAAATGAAATGTTGATACTTTGTTCACTCAGAAGAATTAACACCATTTCAAAAATTCAGAAACAATACAAAAACATTAGAGAAGAGCTCTTAATAAAAACATTAACCATTTTTATAACAATATTGTCCTCTCCTACAATAGAGAAATTTAAAAAATCACAATCAAGCTTTGCTGTCCTGTCACAAAATGTAAAAACAGGCACCTGGGTTGCTCAGTCCGTTAAGCGTCTGCTTTCAACTCAGGTCTGAGGGTCAGTCCCAGGGTCTGAGGATAGAGCCCCGAGATGGGCATCCTACTGAACCTGGAGTCTGCTTGTCCCTCTCCCTCTGACCCTCGCTGCTGCTCTGCTCCCCTCCCCCATATTCTCTCTCTAATAAATCAAACCCTACTCAAGCACTACTTTTCAGCAGAGATTAATGGTAACTGAAAAGTCAACAATTCTATTTCATAAAATTTTCATTGCATTCAAACAACATAATGCAGTCTGAATCACTTTTACAATCAAGGAAGAGATTTCAAGAATACATGAGAATTTAAAAACTAATAGCTGTTTAGAGGCTAAAGAATCAGGCCTGATACTCTTGTTTAATTTGTGCTCTACCCAAATATGGATTCCTAGTTTTATTCACTTCTATCTTCCCATAATGTCAAGGGGGGGGGGGGAGGTAGAAACATACATTTTGATTTTCCAATGTTTTGGAGACAGAACTGGTAAGTGGTTATTTAAGTGTGATCACCAAAGAATCCCAACCCCATCCTTTTTTGAGTTACAGCTTGAAATACACAAATATAACTCTCTAAAGTGTACCGGCTGGAAACCCTGAACTAGAGAATCAATCTGGTGCCCCTGTGCTGAATTTAGCTCAGAGAGTATTTAAAAATCTGGAAATTTCACATTAAAAAAATAAGTCACTGGGATTCTCTATAAAAATGATTGGGCAATTTGGTCTAAATTACCAGATGGCAAAGTGAGGTAGGTAGGGACCAGGGACCCTAATCACTTGTCCTGCATTAATGAAGAACTGTCCAGTTAAAAAAGCCAGTAGCACCTCTTGTTAGTACTCGGTTCTCTGAGGGCAAGAAGCTGTTCTTAGACCTCTTCCTTCCAAGAACAGCATAATATGCTGGACAAAAAAAAAGAAACTTAAGATTAGATGGGGATTTGGGAAAAACAATCTGATGCTTTTAATATACTTTAGGAAAAAGTTCGGATAATAACCTAACTTGTTCCCTTGTTCCAAGTACTCCTCCCTGTATTCCATTTCTATACCTCAGACAAGCAGCTACAACTGACATACAGAAGCATCTTCAAATGTAATCAAAAGGGAAAATTCAACTCAAAAGCTAAATTTAAGCATCTCAGGCTAAAGATCAATTCTGTAAAAAAAAAAAAAAAATGAATTATTACAGCAAGACGTCTGTAAAGAATCATTATCATTACAGCAAAAACACTGAGGCAAGTGACCTATTGGCATAAAAAGAGAGTACAAGAAATCCAGCTTGAAGACAATTTCTATATTTAAAGAAGCCATCTAACACAATTGGGAAATTACAGCTTAGCCAAATAACGAGGTCCAGTTTTTAATTAAAGCATGGTAACCCAAAGTCTTTCAGAAGTTGTATCCAACTGTACTCACCTCCATTTCCACCCTCTTTCCCCCAACCAACATTATCCTCCAGCGACTTCATTTCCTGGGTTCCTGTCATTCCAAAAAACCCCATACCTTTGCACACGCTGCTTCTTTTTCCACTACTCAAACTTTCATTCTTTAATGCCTTGCTTAAAATATCAGTCCTTTGGCAGTTAATAAGCACCCCACTCTTTGGTGTTGTATACAGTGCCTGACTCACAGCTGGAACTCTATAAATGTTTACAGAATAAGTGGATAAATTAACGGTGCCGCTTTTGTCTACTCCTCTCTCAAAGCATTAATCAGATACTACTATCCGTTTGCGTTTGGTTCCTTGACTACATTATCACTTCCTAGAAGGCAGAACTACAATTCACATAGTAAAAAGATCTCTTAGGACCTAAGTACAGTGTGTAGCACAGATTAATTCAATACGCTGGTTGCACAAAAAATAATTCAGGTGAGTCTTCCAACCCAGTCTAATAAAAACCCGCTAACGGTTTCTACCACTATACGAATGTTTCGGTCGCTATTCTAAAAGCGTTCAGAAGTAATCAAATTCAGGCGAAAGAGTTTGCACAATCGGTATTAATGGCGACTTTTTGTTGACTACATCTGATTATAACCTAGTACAGGCAGGTAACTTATAATGTGTTCCCATCATAAAAAAGCCAGCGCTTTTGTTACATTATTACAGATCTTATGCAGCTTTGACTCCAACGATCCTGTAATAGAACTGGACGGTGGGGAAAAAAAAAAAAAAAAGTTAACGAAGTTACCTCCCAACGCACACAGAAAACAGACCACCAAATGAGCCTAACACTGTCCTCTAAATCTAGCCCCTAACATGAGAAAATGTAACGAAGAAAATAAAGTTGCTTTCCCTGCATACAATTCCAGGCATACCAACAACAGACATTTTAAGTCCCAGTCACGGTAAGGGACTATCTAAAAGTTCAAAGCAAGAAGTCTTCGAATTTCCTGAAGTAAATCTTTTTTTTTTTTCCTCCTTCTTTCTTTCTTTAAAAAAAAAAAAAAAAAAAAACAGCTTCCGTTTGGGAAAGAACTGCCTTCGGGGCAAATGTACGCAACCTACGTAATACAAAGAGGTCTGGTCAGTTTACGACTCTGAAGTGAGAGGCAGATTCAAATTGAAACTTCGGGGTATAATGGGCCCGAAGCCATTTTGAGAAATGAAGGGGCGAAAGGGCTGGTGGAGCCAACCCACGGACACGCAAACCCTGCCTGCGGACGGAGTCCACGTCGGGATCCCAGCGCCGCCCTACTAAGCCTAAGCCTCTTCCTGGTCGGCGCGAGCTTCCCCTCGAGAGCCCCAACGAGCGGCAAGCTGGAAAGGCGGCTCTCCTGACACAATCCCCCCCGGCCATGGCTCCTGACGGCGGACCCTAGTCCTCTCCCAGACTCACTGCCAGAACCTTCCACGTTATTGTGTGAGAACTACGCGCGCTCGATCCCACGGAGGACGACGTCCGCTCTGAGGGGGGAAAAGAAAAAAAAAAAAAAAAAAAAAAGGAAACGCCAAGCTAACTCCTCAGAGAAGGCGGCGCGACTGCCGCAGGAGCGAGCGAGCGAGCGAGCGAGCCCGAGCGCCATCTGCGCGAAACGCGCGTCGCGGGTTCCAAGTGGCTTAAAACCCCAACGAGCACGAAACCGAGTTCCAGGCGCCCAACTACCACCGGCGTGGGGGAGCACGAGTCTCGTCGCATTTCGGAGGCCGGAAGGGCACTTCTTCCCTCTTCCTCATGCGCCAAGACCTAGCGGCCTACTCAGCCGGCGGCCAATTACCGCGAGCGGTCGCGATCCCGCCGCGCGGACCGGACTTACCTGCCGTGCTCTCTGCAGCGCATCTTTGAACGCATCGTTAACGCCGCCGCCGCCGCCGCCGCCGCCTCCACCACCAGCTGAGCCAGAAGAAGGCGGAGGCACTGTTGAGTAGTCTGCCATGTCTACGCTACAGTGGCCGCTGCCGCTGCCTCGCAGAGACCTTCCCTCAGCCAACTGCTAAGAAAGAAAGAAAATGGCGGCCGTCGAGGCTGTATCACATTCTTGTGCGACCATCGTGCCGTAAAGGGGCGGAGACTGAAAGGAGAAAGTCTCGCGATGTCTTGAAGCAACGAACCGGTGTGTGTGTGTGTGGGAAGGTACGGCTGGAAAAAAAAAAAAAACAAAAAAAAAAAGACTAGGGAAAGTCGGAGAGATGTCGCGAGGCTTGTGTTTAAGATCTCGCGAGACACGGGGTTTCTTTTGGCGCCTCCTCTACGCGTATTCTCTTGCCGCGGCCGTGCGGCTAGTACTTCCGGGGTGGCGCGGGAGGCACGCGCCGTGACCCTGCTTGGCCGGAGTTTCCGAAGCTCGGAAGAAAAGAGTCGCTGTTTTTTATTGGTTGCGGCCTCGGGGAGGGACTGGGGGGTGCATTTTCCGCCGGGGGTCATTCTGTGTATCCGTGGGAAAGGGGGGTAACGTCGGCAGGCGTAAGGACGACGCGGCCGCGTCTGGAGAGCGCCGCGCCCGGGACACCGCGCGGAGATGCTCGCGAAGCCGCCCTCCCGGCCCGGCGGCACCTCGACCTGACTCTCAGGGTAGCCGAGGGTCCCTGTGCCTTGCTTCTAGGTGGACAGGTGTGTTTTATCGCCAGGTGGGCATGAAGTCAGGCTGGAGGCCGCCTTATGTCTCGGGCTGATGTGGATGCTTCGTTGCGGTGTGGATGAGGCTGTGGAACGGAGACCGCCGTTTCCCTTCCTAAAAAACGTGATTGTTCCTAAAATCTCGTCACCACGCGTGGTAACCTAGTGTTGTGTGTGTCCGGGGGCCAGTTTAACGGAGGTCACCGTAGGATTAACAACAACATCCGTTTTCTTTTTTCTTTCTTTCTTTCCTTGTTTCTTTTTTTTTTTTTTATTTCCCCCAACATCCATTTTCTGGACTAAAATCGACTTTGTGTCTTTTTAAAAATAGTGTGCCCCAATCCCGGGGCCCGGGAGAACCCTGTTGACCGTAGGACGCCGTTCCCGGTGGTCCTCCCGGGACTGACTTCCGGTACGTACTTCCGGTTCCCCTCCTTCGGTTACCGAGTAGTTTCAGACCGTCCGGAGCGTTTGGTGGCAGGACCTTTACTGCTTTACTAGAAATCAGTAGTTTCAGACTCGTTGAGATGCTTTAGGCGTCGATCGAAGTGATGCCGCTCCAGCCCCTCCCCCACCCCCAGTGCCTTTCTTTTTTGATAACAAAGACTGGAGTAAAACGAACTTTACCGACTTTGGCGATTTTGTGTTTGGTGACTCGGGTCAAAAAAAAAAAAAAACACGTTTCCCATTGCGAGTGTTCGGGGTCTTTGGGGTGGACTGTCTTGCTCCTCCAGTGAAACCCTTCCTACCGTCTTAGCCATCTACAGCTTTCATTATCTTACCTATCTATCTCCTTAGATTTGGAGGGGGGCGGATTCGTATTTGGGAAAGCAGTAAATGTATCGGACTACGGATGGAAAGAGAACTGGCTAAAAAAAAGAGAGAGAAAAAAGACTAAAAGCATGGTTGGGGCGTATTGCTGGACAAAATTTTTTCAGTTGTGTTTTGAGAAAGTCTGTCCAACAAATGATACTTGTTGATCAATTGGTTTTTCGCATTTTATCAATTAGACCTCTACCAGTCAGTCCTGATCAATGCAGAGTTGACCACAGAGTGATAGAATTTACTTCTCCACACAAATTAGCTTTATTTCAGACAACTTTAGTTGTCTCTAAATAGTGAAAGGAAAAAAAAATTAAAAAAAAAATAGTGAAAGGAAGGACCTTCGTCTGTAGTTTATTTGTAGGCTCTCCTGGAACCAGGGTGGGAGCCAGTTGGGATTGGTTTAGGTTAGGATTTCTTGACTTCAACACTATCGACATGTTTAACCAGGTAATTCTTTGTGCTGTAATAGGTTTAGCAGCATCCTTAGCCTCTACCATAGATGCCAGTAACATAACACCCCCTGCCCCCACATACCACCACACAATTGTGACAGCTGGAAATGTCTCCAGACTTGGCTGATGTCCCCTGGTAGGCAAAATCATCCCACCTTAACCACTGGTCAGCTTTCATTCCTGCCCCTTCCTCTCCATTGGAAAGACCCATTTACCATACTTTCGTGGTAATGTTGTAAACTCTATTAATTTCCATTTAAACTCTGCCCAAGTTATCATCACTTCAATCTTGGATTATAATAGTGTTCTACTTTATTTTTCTGCTTCTACTCTTAAATCTCCACGATTTGCTTTTTCAAAGTATGAAGTTATAGGTAATAGAAACGCAAGGTCTCAAAAGTAACAAGCCCCTGTTACCAGTACTTTTGAAGCTCAAGCCTCTACCTGATTGTATAACAATTGTTTATTCATATAGCAGCTTGAATGATTTATTTAAAACAAATCAGATTATCTCACCTTTGTCTTCTTACTGCACTTTTTTTTTTTTTTTTTAAGATTTATTTATTTCAGAGAGAGTGTGCGCATGGTGCAGGTTGGGATAAGGGCAGAGCGAGAAGGAGAGACTGGGGAGCCCAACACTAGGCTGGGTTGGATCTCACGACCCTGAGATCATGATGTGAGCTGGAGCCAAGAGTCAAACACTTAACCCACTTAACCAGCTGAGACACCCAGGTGCCCCAAGTATTGCCCTGTAAATCCTATCTCCTGAAGTGGTGTAGGGGTTCCCTAAGATTGGACCACTGTCTCTATAAACACTCCTCTCTCATTCTTCACTCACCTTGCTGTCCAAGATACGTTCTGCCTTTGGGATTTTATATTTGCTCTTTCTTCTTTCTGGCCTGGATGCTCTTAAAGACTTTCACATGGATGATAGATGTGTCCTCATCATTTGAGGCTCAGTTCAAATGTCACCTCATTAGGCCGTCTCTGACCTCTAGTTGTGGCATTCTGCAATCCCTGCAAATGTTTATAGCATTTATCTGAAATTATGTTCTATGTATTTGTTTATTGCTTCTTTTCCTTTAGAATATAAACTGGAGAACCAGGACTGCCTACCATTGACTAGTCCCTAATGCATAATCTGCGTTCTAGATGTTTGTTGAATGAATGCATATTGAAAAAAATCTGCCTCTACGTTTGAGTTGGTTTTGTGAACTTGGGCAAGTAGCTTAGTATCTGTCTGAGATTTCTCATCTATGTTAGTGATAATAACTTGCTTTACTCTCCTCAAATGAGGTATCTGAGAGCTCTTCAGAAACCAGAAAGTACTGTGCAAATGGAAACTAGTTTTAAACGTGTAATTTGGCTTCTGGCATTTTATAATTAAAAAAGGATAAGCTATGTACATATTTTGGATTGCAGCTATGTTCAAATCTTAGGTTTGATAAATCCAGGATCTATGAGTGGCTCAGCAGTTGAGTGTCTGCCTTGGGCTCAGGGTGTGATCCCAGGGTCCGGGATCAAGTCCCACATCAGGCTCCCCTCAGAAGCCTGCTTCTCCCTCTGCCTGTGTCTCTGCCTCTCTCTGTGTGTCTCTCATGAATGAATAAATAAAACCTTAAAAAAAAAAAAAAAACAGGATCCTGCAAGAGCAACTGAATTGTGGGAAAACCAACCAGTGACTTTTGATTAGGCTATGTGAGTTCTCAGTCCATTTGATCTTCTCAAAGCCATTTGTACTTTTCTGGTTACTGTAGATAATTTCATTGTAATTGATGAAATCAGGCTTTTTTTGGCTATATTCCCTTTTGCAATATAAATTTTCTTAAAAGTGGATGTATCATAGCTAATGGTCTAAAATTGGCTAATTGTGCTTTGAGAGATTGGCTAAATATTTGGCTGGATTATATTTTATAGATTCTTGCCACAGAAATTGATATTTCATATTGCATCCTGAGGATGAAGCAAAAGTCAGTGTTTTTGAACTTCCAGAAGTCTGGCAGGGAACATCTAGATTTACCAAATAACAGAGTGAAAAGATTATTAGCAAATATAATAAAAGTGGGGTTATTAAATGTACCGGCAAGTTTTCTTCATTTACCTTCTGATTTATTGTTTACCAAATGACTGATTTTTTTCTTTGCACTTTTCACTTCTGGATGTGTTAAATCTATGAAATATAATAGACTCTTATTTTTAACCTGGAGAAAAATAGTCCATTATGGCTTTTTAACGGGCTTTTTTTTTTTTTTTTTAAGATTTATTTATTTGAGAGAGGTTGGGGGGAGGAGAGTGGGCAAAAGAGAGAAGAGAGTCCCAAACACTGTGGTATGTGCGTAGCCCAACAAGGGGTTCAATCTCAAAAAAAAAAAAGGCGGGGGGGCGGGGAGGTTCAATCTCATCACCTTGAGATCGTGACCTAAGCTGAAACCAAGAGTGGGATGCATAACTGACTGTGCCACCCAGGCACCCCTTAACAGGCATTTTAGAATGACAAAGTTGTACAGGCTTCCTGGCTCAACTTTATACCAATCACCCACCTCCTAACCAGTCTTAGCCAAAAGGATCTCATAACTTGATGCTATACTCTGTCATTTAAACCAGGCCAGTATTTCCTCAGTACACAGTCACAACAGATTCAGGTTAGATTTGAGGAGGAAAGTGGCCACTTCAAATTAAAGTAAATGGTCCAGGATATTGTTAGGGTATTTGATCATTAGGTTGGTTATTGGTTTAATGACCTTTACATCCCTTCTGAGTTTCTAGAATTCTATTTCAGACTAAGGTGTGAATGGAAGCAGAATATATTAACATTTTAGAGGACAAAGTTATTAACACAAATTAACTTTGGAGTATTTTGGAGGACGACATTTTGACCAGTGTCTGAAACTGGAGGCAGCCTTAGATGGTGGAAAGGACTCTGGACTTGGTCCAAGAGGACCTGCGTTCAAGTATGATCAATATGCTCTTTGGTAATCACACAACTTCTTCCTGTTACCAGCATACCAAAGAGAGGGCATTTTAATCTGTTTCTGAAAAATAGCCAATAGAGATAATAAGGCTAATATTTTTACACTGTAATTTCTGTTTTCCCTTTTGGAAGCTAAAATACTATCATCTCACTCTTCAGTTATTTGAAATTTCTCTGATTTGGTTGCCAAATTTGTTAACGTATCCTGGTTGAAGGGCTGTAAGAAGACTGAAAAATACTAGGGTATTGCTCAATATCATTGATTAGCCCTAAATCCAGCCTTTTATCATCCTTGTCATTGTCCTTTATCCATAACTACAGAGCTCCCTTTCTGTCTGGTACACTTCCCACCTCTTTTATTTTACTGTTGCCTGGTAATTTCCATTTTTCCAGAGCTTGTCCAGAACTCTAAAATTTAGGGATTCCTATTTGTTGTCATGTACTACATCATGGCGATAATAGCATAATATCACTTATTGTTTGTTTGGAGTTACCACCAAATTGTAAAGTCTGTGACAATAGGGGCTGTGTCTTTCTCTGTGTCTTCACTGCATAGCACATTCATAGCAATAGCTAATAGTGGCTAGTGCTCCATACTGGGTTTTGCCTATATTTTATTACCTAAGTGCTTTACCTGTGTTTAATTCATTTATTCTTACAATGGCTCTAAGAGGTACTATTAAAATCTCTATTGTCTGGGATATAGGTAAGTTAACTAATTTGCCCAGGGTCACACTTGATCTTAG